TTCTTTAACTGAAGCTGGTCAGAGAGGTTAATTGTATTAAAGCTGCATCTTTTGGTGAGCCTGTTAACCACTGAAACAAATGCACCCATTGTGCTGCTGTCCATAAGGAGCAGAAGGTGGGCTCAAACCTTGCAAAGAAGCCTAGTCCGGTTTCCTGAAGGCTCATAGAGATCCTAGACCTGCTGATGGCCACCTGCTGGGATTTTTAGACTTACACCAGGTGATCAGCTCCCACTGATCTAAAACAAAGAAAACACCCTAAGAAGTGAAAAATAGCTCATCTCACCTGGTCCTGCTGCTGTCCCCCGGGTGGTGATTACCATGATTACACTAATGGGCTTACCTGGCCTTGAAAGCGAATACACAGGATGCTGCTGCTGCTTTGATCTCCAGTGCTGGGAGGAGCCATGACAACATCTTCAAGTAGCAAAATGCTCCTGGCCAAGCCCCAGCCTGGGAAAGCATCTCAGCCACTTCGGGCTACCCCACTTACAGGTGGTCTGGCAGAGCCAGGAGCTTTATGGAGCGATGGTGGGAGAGTGGGGCTGTGATTGGAGGTGGGCCCCATTTGCATGTCAGACTGGCTGGCGTCTCAGAGTTCATTTACTGTAAAGCAACTTCAGGGCTGCTCTACGTTATGCCAAAGACATAGGCAAGAGTAAGCTGACGTTTCTTGCAGAAAACAAAAAAAGGGTTTCTTCAGGCTGCTTTTGCACCCTGAATTTGGGTCATGTAATCCTCTGCTGTAGCCACAGAGTGGGGCCGTTGTCTTTGGGAGCGTACGGGGGCTGAGGACGTGAAAAGGCCATTCAGCTGGGGAAGCAGCTGGGCTGTAATTCACAATGTTTCCTCAGACAGCCGTAACAGATGCAGCAAGAACAGTCCCGTCGAGAAGAATGGGAGGTGTATGGATTTTGTAAATAACCTTCCCATGCAGAAGTCTTTCCCAGTGATCTCACCAAAAAAAAAAAGACTCGGAAGGAAAAAAAAGCTGAAGTGCAGTGGAGCACGATGTTCCATGGGGATTCAGCCTCGCCAGAGTACCACAGGGTTAGACAGTGAAAGAGGAGGACAAACAATCTGCATGGAAGAGGAGTAAGACTTGATCCCAAATTAAAGGGTAGTTGTAGGAAATCCAGACAAGGCTTTAAGCTTACAGAGGCAAAACTTTCTAGGTGAGGTGACAGACAGACAAGGGATGAAAGGAGAAAATTCATTCAGAGGAATAGTCTCCACAGAACTGAAGAGTTGCTAAGAGTGACGCTGTTTTAAGATGGGGATAGGAATCATTTGGTAACACTGAGGACAGATGGATAGGATGGGTTAACCTGACAGTAGGGCCAGGATGGCCAGCAGTGCAAGAGAGTCTTAGATACAGAGGCTGCTACAGCCTTCACCAGGTACTCTTTGATTAAATACACTTAAATGGGCCATATGTGTTGAACTAAAGCAAAGTGTTTTTCCTGTGTGATCCAGAAACTCCCCCTGTTCTTCCCTTACCCATGCTTTAGTGGTATTTTTCTGTCTACAGGTTTCCAGGTATACCTTGCAACTACCTGAAGCCATGCGGCCTTGGAGTCCTTACTGAAGCTGATGGCACTGTTGCAGTAGGAGGGCTTAGTGAAAACAAAAGGGGCCCAGGGCAAAAGCTGAGTGTGAAAGTGAACTCACTCCACAAAAAGGCAGTGGAAAAGCTGGAAAAGAGTGTGGCTGCAGGCAGGAGGAGGAACAGAGAAACTCTTCAGTAACAAGTTATTGACCAAATCACTCCCCCGGTAAAGATGTTGTTTACTCAGCTCCAGAGCTGAGAAAACACATCAGGAGGAGGCAGTGAGCTAGAAATTGCTGAGTTTTTGCACTGACATGAATCACAGAATCATGGCGTGGAGAATCATCTATTCCATCCCTCCAGCCCAAAGCAGGGTCAGCTGCAGGCAGGTTTCCCAGGTTAGCACATGAAGACTCCACAACCTCTCTGGGCAACCCGTGCCTGTGTTTGACAGCCCTCACAGTAAAATGTTTTCTTGTGTTCAGAGGGAATTTCATGTACTCATGTTTATGCCCATTGCCTCATGTCCTGTCCATGGGCACCACTGAGAAGAGCCTGGCTTCCTCTTCTTCCTCCCTCCCATGACGTAATTCTATACATTGATGAGATACTCCTGAGCCTACTCTAGACTAAACAGTCACAGCTCTCTCAGCCTCTCCTCATATGAGAGGTACTCCAGTCCCTTAATCATCTTAGTAGCTCTGCACTGGGCTTACTCCAGTAGCTCCACACCTCTCCTGTACCGGGGAGCCTAAACCTGGAAAGAGCTTAGGTTCTCAGGTTTGTTTCGTTTGTCTTTTTTTCTTGAAGAACAAATTCTTAGTAATGCTCAAAAATGCCATAGTGCTTTTTGCCTGTGGCTTCTCCTGATGCTATTCTGTTGGATCCAACTTGTTTCTACTCAAATCTGTCCTGACAAGAACAGGTGCAACTCAGCTGAAATCATGATGACTGTATATAGTCCCATATGTCACTGTAGAGTAGAAAAAAAATTAATAGCCTCTAGTAAACTTCAAAGCAAAATCAAATGTGTGATTTCAGTTATCTCTGCTACTTTGTGCAGGCTGAAAAGTACCTTTAGCTCCTGTGAAACTTGACAACAGCTCATTGAACAAAGCCAGTGGGTTTTCAACAGTCTGTATTTAATATTAAATGTCTCTACGTCCGCAAACATAAACTAGTAATGGGAAACATATCGCTGGGAAAAATTACACATTTCAACCTGTGGTCTCATCTCTGGTTTTGATTAAATTCCTGCATTTGCAGCAAAGGAAGCAACAAATTTACAACTTTGTAGGTAAGAGAAGGTAGTTGAACAGTTGCTCCGTCTTCACAGAATCACAGAAGCACAGAATGGTTGTAAGAGACCTCTGTGGGTCACCTAGTCCAATCCCCCTGCCGAAGCAGGGTCACCTACAGCAGGCTGCACAGGACCTTGTCCAGGCGGGTCTTGAATATCTTGATTTACAGTTCATTTATCTACCAGTCAACACACAAATATATTCTGTTACAGGTTTGGGATTTGGAAGAGCTTTCAGAAAGGAAACGGTGCTTCCTGATCCCTTTTAAACAGTTAACTCTTTTCCCAAGGCCTATCACCAACTACAGTGAAAAGTGACTTACAAGAAATTTTTGTCCAGATGAATAAAATATTCCAGAGGCTAAATAAATATATCCGTCAAGCCAGTTTGGCTCAGAGAACCCACAGGCTTAAGTTCTTTATTAGTCAGCAAGTTCTTTGACCTTTGTAAGGAGCTAATCACCACCATAAATCATTACCACTTACCCCACTGTAAGTCATTACCACTTACCATACCATAGGTTCACTTTTAAAAATTGGAAACACCGACTCCAGCATCACCTGTGTGTGGTTTGGCACCGAACAGCTGCGTTTCTAATGATTATATTTACACCACGGCGTCCACATTTGTCTTTTAAAGCCTGTGTAGTTAATGGCAGAATGTGTCTTGTTGATGAACACATTGGCAGCTCAGCAGGAGGGTATCTGTAAGAAATCTGGCTGGGAGGTCTTCTGCAGCTCCATAACCCGTTGACCTAGGGCCGTGTGCCAGGAGAGCAGTCACCCTGCTCTCGTGCTGAGACCAGCCCCATTCCCTGATTCCCAGCTGACCACAGGATTCACAAAGCTGCTAATTATTTTACTGCAGAAATTGAGTGCCAGGTTACATCCTGGGCAGGGGGAAATCATAATCCAGACTATAGCATCGCAAAGATGAGTGAGATATTGTGAAAGATCATCCGTTCTCACCCCCGCATCTCTGGCCTCTCCTCACGCTGATGGGGAACAGAGGCAGAGCCGCTGCCTTTTCCCTTCCCATCTCTTCCTACTCTCTGCAGGTCGCTTTGCACCGCCCGAGTGTCGGAGCACAGGCCTGCCGGGCCACCACGCAGATCCTCGCGTCCCCACTCCACCCCAGCATGCATTTGTGACATTACAGGACAAAATCTGTCCCAGAAAGTCCTCCCCAGTATAAACAATTTCTGGCCCTTGCTCACATGAGTACAACATCTTCTGCCTAAAGGACAGTTACACGAGCTATTCAGTTGCCAGCTATGGTTGTTGTATGCAGATGTCCTGAAAGAAACCACTGGTTTGTACTGGTATCCATTACAAATAAGCTACAGGATCAGTGAAGGCTGCGAAGGAGCTGTGTGATATTTATGATTCAGCAGCAAAAGCTGCCCCGTGGAGGAACAAGTCATTAGGAAAATGAGATACAACGGGGTCCAGAAATACTTCCACACATTCAACAGTGAGCATTGTTATTGTAGTTGCTTTACTAAGTCAACCAAAGAGACTCAAAAACTGAAATACAGAGACTTTATACAGAATGAGTTGGGAGTACAAATAAACAAAAGCAACATTCTTCAGGAAATGGATTTTAGGCATGTTTTATAAACATCAATAAATACTGAAAAAGACACGACAATTTAAAAAGAAACAATACCAACAACTTTAAATTGTCCCAATATTTAGAATTTAAGCTGATTTTTTATACTTTTGCAATAGGGATTTCATCCAGAAGTCCTTATCTAATTGAAAAAGGAACAAGAAAAGTAGTCATCTTGTTACTGATACAAAACCAGGGAAGGGATCACAACTAGAGCAGAAAAATGACACATCCAGTTAGAACCGTATTACAATTTGGCAGGAATACTCTTAATGAACACAGTGTATGTGTGAGAAAACGACAGCATCACTATTATGGGCATGAAACGATGACCAAGTGTCATTATCCATGGTCCAAAATGAAAAAGAACATTAGTGAAAGGGGAAATGAAGACTAGGAAAAGGGGGAAAAAAAAAAAAAAGGAAAATTTAAAAGACATCTCTTCATAATAGTCTTCTAAGGCAAATGTTGCATGCACTACCTCCCCAAGAAACTAGATGAAGCTCTTCCATTCCCTGTGCATCTCCTTTCATTTAGTTTCATGAAGAAAGGTTTGAGAGAGCAGAGCGCTGGGAAGAAATACTACAAACCTCTAAATTAGTGAAAGAGCTTCCAGCATCACTATTATATTCTGGGTAGGAGGAACTGGAAGAAATTATGTTTTTCAGCCTCTGAAGTGCAATGATCAATAGCAAAAGGAGAAAAGCTAACAGACTAAGGAATATAGAAACATAGACATAGACGTTGGATAAACGGCCAGGCGATGAATCCACGGAAGTTGAAAGGGATGTGGGATACAGCTCCAGGAAAGTCCCATTTTCCATATTTCCTACAAATCCAGACAAAGGGTCAGGTTCTGACATTTTTGGGTTTGGGTTTTAAAAATGACAACAGATCTTGGATTCAAAAGCAGTTTTAGCAGCATAACAAAGGGTTTATTTTAGGCATCCATTTTTCCATCACAATGAAGAGATGACAAGTCAGCCAGCGATCAAATTTATCCTTTACTGCTCAAGCCCAGGACAATGTAAGACTGTATCCTTTGGAACTGCAAGGAAAAAAAAAAAAGCAAGATTAATTTACTAGCAGATAATGTGATTTAATGTGTGCCTGAGACAATCTGGTTCTTAAGAGTTACAAGTTATTATTCCTTAGCAGTAAGCTGCAATTCTTAAAGTATTAGCTAACGACTATCTTTATATCTGTACTTTCCAAAATGCAGGGATTAGGAGAAAACCTACCCATCAATGAATTAAAATTGACCCTTCCCCACCACGAGTTGTTTAACCGAGGAACGGCATGATCAAAAATGTACTTTATATGGGACAGACCTATTGGAATCCAGATTCGTCAAGGAACAAAAATCCCCCTCAGGACATCAGCTCCCCAACCTAGATAAGCGAGGCTGCTCAACGCCGCAGTGGATGACAAATCCACTGCCATTAGTCACTTACTCCACACTGTCTTGCCAGGGGTACCCAGAATACCTGCCAGACCTGCGTTCTTACTTTGTATTTATGAATTGGATCAAATGGTTCCAAAGAGCAAAATGCATCTCGCTGTAATGCTGCATGGGGATCTCAACAACAGGCACATTTCAGTGAAGTGTTGCAGCTTCTGACACCTACAAACAAAATCCCAAGGGAACGGGCAGCCCTGGCAGCCCAGCAAATGCGAGGGGACTATCCAAAGGCAGAAAATGCCAATGGGGAAGAGATCCCATCTTCAAAAAAGCTTTGCCTCTGGCCACTTTCTGCTGGAACCTGGAAGTTCGAGCACTGGCAAAGGTCAGAGCAGCACAGGACAAGCAGATCAGGGTATGGTAAGCTGCTTTTCTTTAAACTGACACAGTCAGTCCCCAAGTGCAGTCTGGAAACGTAAGAGAAGGCTTGGTGATGGCGAATTGCTTGTAAAAAGCTGACATGGTGCAGCTGAATTGCGTGACATAACCCATTGCCTTTGTTTTGACACAAAACAGATAATGCAAGGTGCAAGCAGATAGGAAATGAAGCTCATTTTCTGCATATAATTGTCCGCATGCAATCTTTCTATCCATCCATCCATCCATGGTAAACCTCTCACTGCAGATACTCAGGCACTACAGGGAAAGGCAGCGAGCTTTTCCCCTGCTAGGAAGACAACATCCACACAGAACTACGATTCCAACGTGGTCCCTCTCATCCTGACCTTGCTTTCAGCCTTGTCCTGTGGTCCCAGTTCAATACAATTATCTCTAACTCACAGTTAGAGGCTTTGAGGAAAATCTCACCGATTTTCACAGCGATAGAGAGAGCAAACACTGTCAGCATCTGCCAGAGAGATAGAATCAGGTCCTTAAAGTCATGATGAGACAGGCTGGGGTCTCCTGTGTGTCACACAGCTGCCCAAGTATCTCTTTGAGTTTCCATGAAAGTGTCCCAACACTGTTCCCAGCAACGGTCTGCCTTATAATTTTTGCTTTAAACATGCTACCCTTGCTAACTTAGTCAAGCACCTCTTTCTTGAAGAGGCCAACACTTTTTGACACTAGGTGTGACCCAACCTGGACTAAAGATTCTTAAGAAGGATAAGGTACTTTTCTGCTGGTCCTGTTTCTTCTCTGAGAACACAGAAGCCTTGGAGACACCCACTGAAAATGCTCAGAAGTTTGCTTTGCAGTCACTTGAAGTTATTTGCATAGTTACCCGCTGTACTTTTGCACTGTAAATTAAAATTTAGGAGGCTATGCTATACGCTGTAAAAACCCCTAAGTGCCTGAGTAAACAAGGACTACATTAAGCAGTAGGTAGAATCTGAACATGAGGAAGAACTTCTTCCCTCTGAGGGTGACGGAGCACTGGAACAGGCTGCCCAGGGAGGTGGTGGAGTCTCATTCTCTGCAGATATTCAAGACCCACCTGGACAAGGTCCTGTGCAGCCTGCTGTAGGTGACCCTGCTTTGGCAGGGGGGTTGGACTAGATGACCCACAGAGGTGCCTTCCAACCCCAAACATTCTGTGATCCTGTGATCTGTAATCTAATTCTACATTTTTAAGCCCTATTTTATTTTCTATACCTCAGAACTACATCTATACTACTACTTAAAACAGGTCAAGGCTATTCTCTGGTCTCAGGGACAACTCGTGTGGCACCCTGCATCAAGATGGCTAAACTCCCTTTTATCCCCATGGACAGGATTGCCAAATCACATCTGCCTTTGGGGATGAATCCAATCCTAACCCCAGATATGTCCAGGCATTGCTTGAGAGTGCTACCTGGCCAAAACCATGCCAGGAGGTATGCTTGCTAATTCAACAGGAGAGACGATGACAGACCTATGCCCTGCCCTGGATTAATTTGCTAGTACATACACATCCATGTTTTAATGCATAAAAGGTTACATTCCAGATCTTGTTTAGTTGTTTATTTATTGCATTTATCGTTTTATTGTAGAGCTTTTGGTAGTCTTAATTGAGCATCTCGACAGCCTACAAGATATGCAAGAATACAAAACTGCATCTGCAAATACCACATAAAAATATTCTTAACCTTGTGACGTATCATTCATACTAATGTATAAAATATACTAAACCAAAACCATTTTATAACCCTAATAGTATTTAACCCCACAGGAAACAGCATTTATTGTACCTCATGAAATAAGTCACACCAGACTGAACAAAGAGAGAACCTTATAAGATTGCACTCCTTTTGAACTGTCTTTAATTTAGTGATCCAAAATTAACTAATGGAAGAATACATGTTCATGTTCTGGAAGTAGTTAAGTGCGTTATAGCTAATTTATCCTTTTTAACAGGTAGCTTTGATACAGAAGATGTTTATCCTTGATTACTTGTCATGAAAAGCAGATCCATTATTAATTGAATTTCTTTATAATAACTTAAGGAATTAATTCACATAAATTCTTTAGTATGGCAGAAGTTAAAAGCCTTTAAATTCTTCACAAATTTGAAATCCACTACATTCTGCTTTTACCATTAACAGTTTTGGCCCCGGTACAAGGAAGAACTTTGGCGTAGGACTTTCTTTGACGTCAGTGAAAAATTTATGCTCTTAAATAGGACTAATCAGAACCTCACAGTTAAGCAGAGATTTGAATGCTTTGCTAGATCAGAGCCTTTATAGGTCTTGCAATGTCAACTGGACTATTTTTGATGGAGTATTCTGCAGTCAGATGAGAGGCACTGTAAACTCTGATTCCAGCTGATTATGGCCCAGATCCTAGTTGCCTCACTCACACTGTGTAGTGATATGACGTGTAAATGAATCTCACCATAAAATGTAGCCTCAGCTAAAGTGGCTCTTTGGGTAATATTTTAGGAAGAAAAAAAAAATCTGTGTTGTTTTAATCACACATTTAAAAATATGGACCTAAAGTGTGAGGTCCCACTCAGTCTAAAAGGATTTTTACCAACCATCTGTACCCTGATGGAGTAAAACAGCAAAATCCTACCGAGTGTGAACATATCTGGTCCTGACATCTCAGTAGTATTCACAGAAAGGTACAAAAAGCTTAAGGGAAAAAAACCAGATCCAATCCTGGTCCCTAGTGCTGTTCCAGCACTGCAATGGTGCCGGAGAGCAGCCAGGCCAGCTCAGCCAGCAATGGAGGGCAGGGATGCCAATGCCGTTCTGGACCAACGTGCGCCTGCACGAACCTCTGCCATGCCACAGGTCAGACCTCCCAGCCTGCGAGAGGGGGACCCGCAAGCAGTTTTATTCAGTGCACCAGCACTACTGCTTCGGCTCAGGTTCCTGCTTCTGCTGGGAGAAGAAGGTAAGTGGCATAATCAATTTCTGTCTCTCTGACCCTAATACTTCCAAAGGAATAACCCCCAGTAAAGTCAGGTGTCAGCTTCACCTTCTCGTTTGGTAATTGATTTTGTGCGTTTCTGAGAACTAAACAGAACAACATCAAAACCTCAAGCCCAAACCTGCTCCCAGAAAAGTGTTTGGGAATTTTGTCACTGACTTCACAGTACAATGGTGAAGTTGAAAGTGGCTGACCGCAATAAACCTGCTGTCTTTCCGAGAGCCATAACCCCATCAAGGAACACAACTAAGGAACCACAGTTTTCAAATTCTCTAGTGGCCCCTGCTTTTCCCTCACCTATTGTTGGAAAGTCGTTTTGGTTTAAAGCAAAGACTTAATTTAAAGTGCTATTGCTGAATGACTGCAGATGGAGAGGAACTCTGACAGGAGACAGCTTCCCAAATAATCAGTCCTGAAAACTCCTGGGACAGGAGAACTGGGACCTGTCTGCTGGGGGACTCAGACTTTGTGGCGTAGCTGGATCCGGATTACTTTCTCAGAGGCACCTCTGCAGTCCCAAGACAGGGATGCATGGCTTGAGGAGGCTTCCTGAGTCATCGAGTCTAGCCCCACCGCTAAAAATCCCAGGTCACAGTCAGCCTTTCCGACACCGGCCGAGTTTTCCTGCTGTTGTTACTCCGCTGTTACACAGCCTTGCTGCTCTGATGGGCAAACTTAGATTCACGCATTTCAGCAAAACAACTCACTGTACCAAGACGGCAGACTCCACCTCCATGCTCTGCTGGTTTTAGATGTACAAGATGGCAAAACCTTGTTCTGCTACTTCAGTCCCCAAGTATGAGGGCTGGCACACAAGGAAAGGCTCTGCTGTCATTTGTACATCCTCACTTTTCAACCAGAACCACTATTTAAGTATTTTCCTCCAGCTGTGCATCTTCCTCCATTCATGTCCTTTGTATAAATCACTTTTCACAGATGAGGACAACTCTCTTACTCCAAGGGTAAGGCTACCTGGCAAATACTGTACGCAGGCTCGGGTGGAGTTTTTCATCTTTTATCTCATGGTAAGTGGGATATAGGCAAATTGCC